ACAGATTTTTAAAAACCTCCCAGTTACCACAAAATCAGGTGATAATATATACTTCCAAAATATTGCTTATACATCACCTTATTAGTGCGTGTCCATATAAGATATCAGAATTGCTTTAACTTCTCTGTAAATAAAAACCATGTACAAGAGTGATCACTGTGTACGAATCTTTCAGTTCAATAAGGCAATGTGCTATTTAGTAATGTAGTACAAAATGTAATTTTATGTCAGGATATTGTAAGAACTTATAATTATTATCAACATCTAAGGTATTAAAGTTATTGAAGTAAATTAATCATCTACTGTAGGATTACTCACTCTAATTGTAAGTTCGAACTTGCTATTGTATCATAATCTGCTAATGTAATCTTAATGTAATGTAGTTAATGTTATTTTAACTTGGTAATTAGACCTTGTGTAGTTAAATAATGCAAATTATTTTAGTGTTAATTTTTTTATTTTATTATTTTAATAGTAATTTATCAAGTAAACTTTTAATTATTTCTGTATGATATGTAATTGAATCTAATTCCAGTTATATCAATCAATTTTATGTATTTTAAATTATAATTGATCGTGATAATGTAAACTTATTAAATTATTACTGTAAGTGAATATTGTTAAATAATGTAAATCACTTATTGTAATTTTAAATAATTTTTAGACAGACTTTGCTTGATACTTTCTCTAAGTCATTAAGCAATAAAATATTATTATTATTGTCATCTGGGGAATTTCATATGAGGATTATTGTGCTTTAATGTGCTGGAGGGTAACTACTTGGCTACAGTTTGATAAATATGATTTCATCCATTAGCCAGCAATGCCTCGGTTCTCTAGCATTTCTAGTTTTGTTAAAAGTATGATGGTCAATAATGTCAAAGGCATTTGACAAATCTAAGTAAAAGCCAATGGCAATTTGCTTCTGATTTACTGCTACTGGTAAATTGTTTAAAAAGGAGATGATGTCTGTGGATCTATTAATCCTGAAGCCATTTTGTGCATTTGTGAGGATATTATTTGCATTGAGAAACTGTTTGAGCCTTGTCATTGAAAAGCCTCTCCAGAATTTTTGAAAATCCAGATGCAGGGAGATAGGTCTGTACTTCATTGGATCATAACTATTGCTCCTTTTAAACATTGATTTAATTTGGCCATATTTAATTCATCTAGGAATAGGTCTGTTTTTAGAGAGTAATTGCAAATATGAGAGAGCGATTGCACTATACATGGAGCACTGTGTTTAATAAGAAAATCTAGAATGTTGTCCATGCCTGCTGAGAATTTTTTTTCACTTGTCCAAAGATTTTAAACATTTCAGAGGGAGTGGTTTCATGTAAAAATATGAAATTTATGATTTGTGTAACATAAGTGTTTGGTCGCTGTGCTTTATTGTTTAGAGAGTGTTGCGAGATCAATTTTTTACCAATTTGTGAAAAGTGTTGCGAGATTTGAATTGAATGTGTCAGCAATTTTGCAAAAATTGAAAGCCAGCAAGAATATGTCAGCAATTTCTTGTGGGTCTTGTAAAGTTGGGATTTTGTAGTAGAGCTCAATATTGTTTCTGTTATTAAGAGTTGATGCTGTAGTCTTTTTAATAATATCTCACGTAGCTTTTGTTTTGTTACATGCATTTGCAATGTGCTTATCATTGGTCATAATTTTTGCTTGTTTGATTACTTTTTTTTAAGATAGAATTATATGTTTTGTAGTATGTAATGAAGTTGGAGTTGCATTTGTTATGTGCTAGTATTTTCTTTCACATGACACTTTGATGCCATTGGTAGTCCACAATTTGGTTTTCTTATTTTGGATCTTTGTGAGTTTTGAGGAAAAGTGGCAATGAAATGTCTTAAGTATATGTTTATGAATGAGTTAAACTTATCATTTGTTTCAATAACCTTATATATTTCATTCCAATAATCTTATCTTGAGTTCGTTTTTGAATTTTCTTCTGTTTCATAGGGAATAATTGTTGTTTTTTTTTGGTTAGTTTTCTGATCTGTGATTTTTGATTGTTTAAAATGATAGAATCTGAGCAGTGTTGTCACTGAAGCCTGCGGTAAATGTAGCAACAGAAAACTATGGTTATTTGCATGTATTATTGTTTGATCTATAGCAGTGCTACCATTTTTGGATATTCGGTTTGGTGTATTTATGGTTGTTAGTAGATTGTATGATTTTAGTAAGTCTTTGAATAAATTTTCATTACTGGATTGTGTGAGGCAGTTTATATTGAAGTCACCAAAAAGAATAATTTTCTACTGTTTGCATTTTTTTATTTTAGTTAGCATAACTTCGAGATATTTTAAAAAGATTTTCAAATTCCAAGTAGGGCTGTGTATGTGCATAAGACCCAGGTTTTATTGTAATTAAGTCAGTGATGAATATTTCAAAATCTTTTTCTTTTGTAAGATGAATGTGATGGGTGTAGAGTTCAAAACTAATAGTATTTTTAATAAAAATGCTTGTCCCACCATATGCACAAGGTGCATTACTAATATTTCAAAATGAGCTGCTAGCTAAAGAGATGCCAAGTATATAAGATTAATCAATGTGCTATCAAGGATCTGAATAATCTGAAATATTATTAGGTAGCCTAAATTGAATATAAGATGTAAACCTAGGATAAATATTTCTATGACAAGGGTCATTATGAATATAACTTCCATAAACGTTTGGGAGAGATTCTTGAATATTGATTTCTGTAGAAAATATTTTTTTGGTTCACATCCATAATGTCGTTACTGGTGACTTGATAAGTTAATTTTATTAATTTCTAAGTTGTTACAGTTGGAATTAAAATTTATACAAGTTTGGAAGTAGTAATGACAGCCAAATAAGAATAAGATTGTTCTCTATATGGTAAAGCAGTCTTCATTCTGGTTTGTTTAAGAATAATTGTGAAAGTGAGCAAGCTGGTTTTGCCAATTAACATTGCACTGAGCCTTGTCAAAAGAAATTAAATACTCTATTTTTGGACTCAGATATATTAATCAGTATTAATTAATGAACATTTATGTGCTCTTCTTCTATTATATTGTTCTTCTTCTAACTTTCTGTTGGCGGGGAGTTACTTTTTTTTCTGAACAGTTTCATTAATAATTTATTCTTTAGATAGTTGAAACCAGAACCAACTTTTTAGATAGTAGTTGATACCTATAAACCACGATTACTTTGTAATGATTTTCAGCATTCCTGTAAATTCTATTTATGTAGTTTGATATTTCATTCTTGAGCAATTTTTGTTTAATAGTAAGTTTTTGGATCTTTTGTTGTTATTTTAAGTGCAATAAATATCTAAATTGTTTGTTACAAAAATTTAGGTTCTTATTAAAGAAAACTTTGTGATTGAATAACAAAATCATGAAATTGAACAAGTCTTAATTTGTGGCTTCTAGGTGTTAGTTCAGCTGATGGCCAAGCAATTGACAGCTACTGATCTAACCAATCCCAATGAAGACAATGCCTGTTATTTAAACTATCCGATTGCGAAGAAACCAATTGCAACGGAATGTTATAGAACTTGTTCACATACCAAATTTGTGCCAAACATAATATAACGTTGGACATAAAAACCATATTGATAAAAAAAACCCACATCTTGAAGATATAATTATTTTTATGAACAGTATAATTTTTCCAATAAAAAAATGTGAGGTGGAAAGTTAAAAATTTCATATTTCTAGCACACCCACCAAAAACAATATTACTAATTTTTCAGATGCATAAGTTAATACAACTGACCATTGCAATTATTATATTTAAATTTTAATTATTTTTTACTTTGAGTAACTACCGTGAGCAGTGACACAAAATCGAGAATTCGTTGGGTGTCAGGAAGCATTATATGCTATTGTTTTGTAACCCAAATTCATTCAACTTTCAATTTGAAAAGGCCACCAGTAAATCAGTTATTACTCCTAATGCATACACACAGTAACAGGCGATCAATATTCATTCAGAAAAAAAAACTGTCAATTACAAACAAAATTAGGTAATTTATTGATTGTTCTGATAACAGTCACAGTATTTGTAATGAAGTCTACAATTTCATGTGCATAAATTTAATGAGTTAATACATGTCTTCCTTGCAGAATTCTTCTCATAATAATTCTTCGTCCAGGTAGTGTTGACATTCGAGTCTTCCACCCATGGCGTTTTACTCTTTTCTGCTCAGATGGCCTTGGAAAATGACATCTAACATTAGTCCTAGTGGTTATTATTTGTACATTTTCTCCTACTTGTAGGAGAGAGGTGGGTGCTCCAAACCCAGCAGTTTGAGTTATTGCTAAGGTGGAAAAATTTGATGAATTTCCGGGAGAGAGAATTCTTGTAACACTTAGTATAGTCTTGTAAATTGGGAATTCGCGGTGTGGCTGAACATTCGTGAATAAATTACCCTGACTTGGGCGAAACGACCTGCGGACCAAAATGTTACAATTCAATACCTGTGAAAGAAAACAATGCAACATGCAATTCTGTTGAAAAATCAGTACCTAAAAGTATCTATCATCTTGGACATAATAACTCGAGCCATGATCACGAGCTCCTATTACTATTCTTTCCGAAACCAATAAAAACAATTCGAAAATTAAAATAAATTTCACACACTAAGAACGTGATTAGTACATGGAAGAGTAAATAAATAATTGATTCAGCAGATTCGTTCAGTTTAGAAAGCGTTCTCGGAACCGTGAAGAGAACGCTTTCTAAATTGTTTTTACGGTAGATTTCTCGCATCATAGAACTCATCGTCTTTCTGTCGCGAAAACTTTATGATTTCTACCCGTTACAAATTTCTATTTCACAAAGTTTACTTTACCATTCGTCGTGAAACCTCCAAAACTTCAATGGATGGATATGTAGTGTATTATACTTATAACAATTTTAAGGATAAATGAGTCGTCCGATAACTCAGTATAATTATCAATTATTATTTACAAGTATTTATAGTTTTCATTGCGATACATTGACAAGATGCAAGATGTGTATTTACATTGTGTAAATGTTATTGATATAGGCATTGCCATCGCGTAGCTCTCGTTCATTCGTTCTTCTCAGGTTCATCGTATTCAGTGATTCGTTCCGACACGGGCAATGGGCAAGGGCGCGTACATTAGAATCACGACACCAGGCAAACCGAAATGTTGCATTGAGATATGTAAGGTAGGATTTCCATTTCATACGCTAATTAGGTAGTAATAGTTTAGTAGCTACGCACACGAAGCTAGTCAGTTTACCGTACCTGTATTTTGCCTTATATGGAAAGATGTGGAACTTATTCCTCATTGATGTAAAATGAAGATATTCGTAATAAAGTCTATGACTGTATACGCAATAAAATCTACAATACATTTAATGAGTCAATACATGTCTTTCTTGCAGAATTCTTCTCATAATAATTCTTCGTCCTGATAGTGTTTCGAGTCTTCCACCCATGGTGGTTTACTCTTTTCTGCTCAGATGGCAGAATGCCGTCTGATCTGACAAAGAGACAGACGTGGAAGGTATACAAAGGAAGTGGATCGAATTGGTCGTGTTCGTGTGCGCTTATTCGAATTACTAAGTTAATATCTACATGATTTCCACAATTGTCCTTATATGTATTTGAAGTGTCCTGTTTATTGCGTAGCAGATAAAGAAATCCGATCTATTTCAGTAAACTTAAGTAATAATTTAGTTGACGAGAATGATAGCACCAAAGCAAGAGTGCGGGAAAGGTCTGTACCATGGAACACATTAATAACGACCAAGTCCTTCTTCCATGGTTGTACACTTTGTTTATCTTTCTCAAATATGTGAAAACTTAAAAGTACCCCCCCCACTTTTTTTTATACCTTGAATTATCATCTACTAGTGGTGTAACATTTTCACAACACTAGTTTTCACTTCCTATAACCAGTAAGACTTTTAACTAAAAAAAATTAACTTTAAAACAAGTGTATCTTTTTTTTTCTGTTTGAGCTGGCAAAGAGTACAATTTTTTTTTTAATGTTTTATTTTTACATATTCTGAATCACAGTGTTTCACGTAATGTTAATACAGATCATCTGGTGTGAACAAAAGTCATTTGTTTACATCTGAAAATGAAAAAAAACAAACAAAATGTTATTGTTGAGTAAGAAAGTATTAAAAATAAAATTATATAGTAATAGATTAAAGTATGAAATAAAACAACTGAAAGGAAAAAAAATATGATAGTAAATATGAGAGAGAACGTACCAAAGCGTGTTGAGATTGATCAAACAATTAAAATTTAAGTACCCAAAAACAAAGAAAAACATTTTCATTGTAGATATCTATATTCTGGCTTCAAGGAGAAGAGGCCAAAAATGTGTTGAGAAGGAGCAGATTAATGTAAAAAATAGGTGGCATAATTTAGTAAAAGACAACACGAAAACAAGTAAAAAACAGACAAAACATGAATAAACAGAGCTGGGAGGGGGAAGAAACAGATTAAAACAGACAGACTCTTGTAAAAATAAAAGCAAAGATAACAAAACACAAAGTGTAAAAAAAGGTTTAGAGTATTCTTATTTTAGACAGAACATTGGCATAACCGAATGTGAATAAATTAAATTCTAACTGGCAAAAATGTTGTATGTCTTTATATGTAATATCTCTGAGATAAATCTTGAATATTTCCTGTGTTCATTATCCAAAATAGTTGCAAAAGAGCGAAATCAAGACGATGTCAAGAAATGGAGTGTATTTTTGTGCTACTCTCTCTCTCTAATGCTTTTAACATGATCTTTTATTCTTTAAGAGCATGCTATGTCTGTCTCACAGAAGAAACACAGCAATCACAACAGTTAATGCAATAAACTACATTTTCTTTATCTACCAAAGAGATTTTATCCTTGATATTTCTAACTATATTTTATTTAGGGAGCAATTATTTCCTACTTTTTATGTCAAATTTTAAAGTAGAAAACTTTTTCCTTTAAAAAACTTTACTTTACCAAACTTTAAAGTAGAAAAAAGATCCAGTTGTGTTAATTTAATTAATGTTATGTAAAAATTATACTATTTTATATTTTTTTTGACAAAAAAAAAGTAATTTCATGAACAGTGATTTAAGGTAAAATATTGTCTTATTCTTGGATCACACAGAAACTCAAGGGCATGCTACTTTGAATCAAAATAAGGCAACAGGATTATTTGAAAGATTATTTGGAGTATCCTGAGAGATAATCTATCAGTATTTCCAGGATGTGCACTATACAGCTATTGTGAAATTTTGATGATTTTTATAGTATCATCTGTATTCCTGAACTGATTTCATACCCAATCTTTTGTATGACTTTTTACCATTAGCAAGAAGTGGTGTTTATGATGATTACAAAAAAACTTTTTTTTGTTAAAAATTACAAATTTCTGTTTTGTTTGAGCAGCCATCTTCAAAAATGTTGCAATTTTCTACTTAACTAATAAAACTGCTATTTTTGTTTTCTTAATTGGAAACTTGGAGCAATGTTGTAGGTACAAAATGAAGCAGGATTGTAAATTAATCAGAAAATTCAAACCCATTTTTACTCTATATTATTTATTGGATATCATTATTTTTTTTATTTTTTCAATGATAAAAAATCATAAATAAGAAATCAAGGTACCTAGCGAAACCATTTCATTTGGTTCATGTTGTAGCTATTGTCTCCTATAATATTTCCTAAAGAATAGAAAAATACTTTCAGCAGGTCAAAAGTTATCTTTAAAACTAATTTGTAAGTGTACAATTTGGGAAAATGAGTAAGTGTTTGAAGTTAGTGTTTAAAGGGAACAAGGCTGGTAAGAATATAATTGATTTCACTGGTGCAGACATAAAGATTTTCCTTTGTAATTCCAAAACAAATCTAGTTATCAATGAGAAACTTCCATGTCCAAAAAGATGAATGTGAGTTTTTTAATTTGGATTTTGAAAAATGTGTATTTTGAGTCCAGGTCCAACAATTTTGTTTGGATTCTGTATTGTTAGTCGTGTTTTGCACTGAATCCAGATATGATGAGGATGAAAAGGATGCAATCGCGACTGTATGCAGATTGCAGAGGGTATTGCAGATTGCAGAGGCTGAGAGTATTTTATCAGAGACAGCACTTAACTCTAGTCTCAGTGCTCTTATTCCAATCTCTAATTTTCATGGAGGTGGAAGCATCCGTCTTCCCCCCATTTTGAGCCCATAGTGTCGAAGGCTGATCTGTCATTGGAGATGGAGCATAATGGTGCATACACTGGGGCCCCTAAAGTTGGGAGCCGCTCATAAGGCTCCCTGTAGACGGGATTCAACAAAAAAGAAAGTAAAGCAAATCACTCTCCAGACTTATTTTCTCCACAGCACCAGTTGTATTCTTATTCCAGTTAGATTTAAATTAATTTCACTTTTAGTAATTGCAGATAAGGCATTTTGACTTTGTTCACAGGGTCTTTTGTAAATTTAGCTAATCCAATATATCTTTATCAATATATATCTTTGATATTTGTGATGAAGTTTTTAATATTATTAGGATTGAAATTTTGCTTTTTGTCTATCTTGTCTTTTTTTAAACTATTTATTTATTTTTCTTTCTAATGGATTATTTTGCAGCATGCCTTGACATAAACAATGACAATCTTCCTTTGGCAGATTTTCTTCATCTCATTTTGCAGATCAATTTTTGTTGTTGCCTTCTGCATAATTGTAAGCCAGACTTCAAACTCTGTCCTTCATTAGTCTGAATTTCTTTTTTGACACTTAGTTTACGTTTTCTACAAAGTTGACTGAGAATCTGTTTCTCTGAACAATCCCAAAGTTCCTTAAATGAGATTTTGTGTGTACCCTACTAGAAAGTTCCTCTCATTGCTTCCCTTTTTGTGCAAGAAGTGAATGAGACGATATTAGTATGCTTATAGAAAATTTGATTTTCTAAATTTCTTCCATTATTCTTCTAAAATGTCTTCTATATGATATGATATTTTGAAGATTTTTGATTTTCTGTCTGTCCTACATTTAAACATTTCTACAGTAATTGAACCATGACCATGGAACTTATCTGTTCTTTAGTTTGTTAAACTGAACTTGGGCTTGCAAAATTTTCTGAATTACCTTTTTTGTTAACACTTATTTCTGGATTACACTGTTAAGAAATATATTGATTTAAATATTTATGTTAGAAATGTAATTATTTTAAAAATTAATTTTGAATATTATCATATATACACTACAAAAGTAATGTACAATCTAAGAACAAATGTTATTAATGTAACAAAATCTATGATGGTCCCCTCAAAAATGACCAACTGGGTCAATCCCCAAGTTGTCTCCAGCATACAAGATGGTATACATTGTCGGGGAGGAGTTTTTAAAAGTTATGCTAATAGATTAAGAATATCTCAAAAGCACATCTTAAGAATAATATTGAATAAACCAAAAAGAGAAAGCTCTTATCCATTATTTTGCCAGTTCAAAATTCTTCCCTTTAAATGTCTCTTTATTTATAAGGTTTTAAAGATGTTTTGTATCACAAATGGCACTAATGATACCAGCAATTTATTCTATTAAACAAGAAGTGGCCAGAGATTCTTTAGTTTATCAAAAGTCAATAAATCTACATTCTTATGGTCTTACAACAGTCTTATGGTTATAATGGTCCTAACTATTTTAGCCATTTGCCAAATAATATTAAAGCAAGTCCTAATTAAAAAACTTTCTTGAAGAATTTCAAACTTGTTATTCTCAATTAATGAAGTAAGATTTTTATATTCTTACTTAATGAAAAGTACCTGTAAACTTCCAGCTCTTGGTTTGGATTACAGTATACAGACTTGTCTTCATCAATCTACCATAGTTATCTATGATTCATCTCTAATGATTTGATATCTGTCTTGTGATGTTGTCTTCTTGAAGTCTTGTGAAGTATTGATCATTACTTAAAAATCTGTTCTGTAAACCTATATGTTATAATGTATGTTATTGCTTGAAATGATTTCTGATGAAGTTTTTCAAACACTCAAAATATATTTGTGAAAATTATCTCAAAATTGCGTGTTTCAGAATCGCTCATATCATTTTTCAAAATGGCTCCCAATATTTCACTGAAATTGGAATAGTACCATGTTTTACTCTCCTATAATATTCCTAAAGTCATACATCAATACTACCACTAGGAAAATTAAAAATTGAGGAAATTTT